GAGGTGACATCCTGTGTATAGCAGCACTGACTGTCCAGAGCTGTGAATATGAGTGTCTTTCTTTCTCTCACCATGGGGGATGGTGGCTGGTGTATGGGGAGGGGCAGTGGTAGTGAAAGGCTTTCTTGGGCGGGAGGCAGGGGTGTTGTTGGTCAATGTCAGGTCACAAGAGTGCCCATAGTGCAGTAAATTATGTCAAAATTTATTGAATATAAAAACGAATCAGATAAAACATCAATATGTATATTCATCAGCGTCAAGTATAGATAAGAACTGACCATCCAGGAACTAAGATGGCCACAGGGCCTCCTCGTGGTTCTGGCGGCGTGATGTCATGATGTCCTAGGCTCCTCCTAACGCGTTTCGTGTGTATGCACTTGACGCTGCTGCATATACATATTTTTTATCTGATTTGTTTTTATATTCAATATATTTTGACATAATTTACTGCACTATGGGCACTCTTCTTGGTCTCCCTTGAGGAGCTATGTTATTTATAGAGCCCCTGCTGTGATCCAGTCATCTGTCCACCGTATCCAGAGAGGGAAGCTCCTGTAAGCAGGCACCTGTACCCACCTATCCCTTAAAGGAACCTCTGGCCAGCTGGATCATCCTACATCTCTGAGGGCTCATAACCATACCACCCTGAGGGAGAATTATCCTGTGTTCCAGTCCTGACCTATACCTTTGAAGGAGATCCGTGTTGCTTTACACATTGCGTATTTGAGTTACGCTTCTGGTGAGTGCGTAATTCCTACCTTATCACTGGGAGCACCGCCACTGTATTGGATCATTACACCAAATTTTCTTCACCATATAGACTGTCAGTGATATATGCTAATGTTATTGGGGACATAATATACCTATTTTCATTATATAGCGCTGCACTTTCCCATTATGTTTGTGACGGAGGTTTTTACTTGGTTTCCTCGAGTGTCCAGCTGCTTACCTTAGAGCACTCACTTTTATTTCCTATACCACAGTATAGGATTTGGACCTTGGGGGTCCCGGGGAACTTCAAGTTGGTGGGGAGTCCCAACATAGAAATTAAATTATATGACAAATATAAAAGTGAAAAATTTAACTGAACTTAATGATGAGCCACAGTTGTTCTAAAAAAAACAAATGTTAGGTTCCGAAGAAGACACTTGTCTGATATGTTTTCTCAAGTTTATTGACTGTAAGAATACACATTGCACAGTTAACTGGAACTGGCAAATCATACATCACACTACAGTATTTACAAAAAGTCTTAGAATCTGCAAGATTTTTTAACTAACTCATCAGACTGTATCACCTTGAGGACACTGCTCTTGGCAGCCAGTAGGCACTTAAGCAGCCCATAGATAACACAATGGGTGGAAGGAAAGAAAGCACTATTGAGTTCTGCTGGTGGGGAACTTTTTTTGCTGGCAGAATACAGTGATCACTGCTAGCAGCTATAGCCACAGGCAGTAATTGTATAAAAAAAAATCCAACAGGCTGATTGTACTGACGTCAATCGATGGATCGACTTGGGTACAACCAGGCTGCCCATAGATGGATTGAATCTTGGCTGGTTCCTGATGAACCAGCCAAAATTCAATCCACCTATGGCCTGCCCTATACTTTCATGGATCATTGTGGTTCTTAGATAATTCTTTATCAGTGCCAATGTGCTGAACTGCCTTTCTTCTGAACTAGTGACCATCATGTTCAAATATATTCTAAAGCTACATTAAAACCTGGAAAGGTATCAGCAAGCTCTTTATCATGTAATAAAACTGCCTGTTGAGATGGAGTGAGACATGGCTGGAGCTTGGTAAAGGCTGCAAACTGGACAATTTTCTCAACAAACACACTACTGAAATTATGAGGGAAAGCACTGATATGATTCTAAGCCTCAGTTTTTATCTCCGCATCAGGTAGACCACATGAGTCAACTATTACTTTGAACCTCTCATACACTGATTGGTATGCTACCCTGCTCTCTTGTATGACAACAGTCAACTGATCTAAAAATAATATTGAAAGTTCCACATCTGAATTTTTCTCTGAAAGAAAAAAGTTTCCCCGGAGACTAATTATGGGTTTGCATCCTATTGCTTGCATCACTTTGCTGACCTGCTGGTAGTTGATTTGTAGCCTGCATTGCCACAGAAGTTCTTGGTATGCAGTTTCAGCTGTTTATACCTATCTGCCAGATGCCCTTAACCCTTTCTTTGCCTCTGAAGTCAGGCTTAACTGTTCCATATCCTGACACCCACACACACTTTGTTAATTTTTTTAAAATATAAATAATTTAATAATTATTACTCTTTTTATAAAGGAAGTCTGGGTCCAGGCCCCCCTACCCCGGCAGGGGGCCTGGGGCAATTGTTCCTTTTACCCCCTTATAAATACGCCACTGGTTCTGAGCCAAAGTGCCCAAAGGCATTTAGAAGTTTGAGTTGGATAAAACCATTCTTAGGTGTACATATGCAACTGCAAACCATACCTCATTTTTAGTCTCAGCTGTCCAAAGTCCTTTTTTATATGTGAGCTGACTGATGTGCGGTGCTTTCCCTTTCTCCCACTCTCTCAGCTGTGGGAGTCTACTGCTGGGTGAAAAGGATGACTGCAGACAGAAGACTAAAAAATATACTAAAAATATACATGTGCAGTCTGTTTGTGTTGGGAAACCCATTAGGGGGATTCCTATTAGTCGGAATCTGGCATATGGTAGGAAGAAAAAAGCAACCGAATGCATGAGCATCTGCACTGGACAATGGAATCCACAATGTCAATATCCCCACATGTGTATGAAAATTGCAGGCCTTGCTGCCCTCAATGGACCAGGGAAATCCAAAGAGAACTGTATATGAAAAGACAAAAAGAGGGCGCACGGGCCTAGTGACAAACTGGCTCTGAGGAAGAGGTACAACCTCGAAACACGTCAGCCATCAGCTATCCAGAGGTCTACAGTCCCCCACCAGACTACCTTCAGGGGTCTTGGACCACACTGCATCTCTTCTGACATGCTTTCCATTTGATTTTATTTCATGTAGAATCTGGCATATGTTTAATTAGCATAATAGAGACACTTGAAAAGCATGTCAATGAAAAAATTGGAAGTAATATAAGTATATTATTGTAGAACCAATGTTTTGGAGAGGCACAGCATCCAAAAAGGAGGTAAATTGCTGATTTATTGCCCCTGTTTACTACAAATGTACTTCACATAATCACTGCACTTAGCACAACCTTATTCAATTAGCCTGTACATATTAGATAATCACTTCAGGAACTTATGTTTAATTTGATATTTATTAATTTTTTTGTCTTAACAAAAAAAGACCTAAACCATTAAGATTCACACATCTTATTTGTCTTATATTGGTATTTATATTGTATTATTTTATTTGTACAGAAGATAACCTGGGTTGTAGATGGGTAGATGACATCTACTGTACTTTATTCTCTGTAGTGCTGGGACAAGCCATGGTTTCTCATTCCGCTTATCCAATGAATTGATGCTCAATTGACAATATTCTATAATCAAACACAGTAAAAGTGCTACTACCCATATATCTTGAATTGAGAAGAATCACAGGTGCCCGATCCACAGTTGCTCGGCTGTATACAACACTTGGGTAATGATGGATCCGCATGACTGTAAATACTCTTAAATTCTTGTATTTATTAGACCACGGTATAAAAATTGCAGATACAAAAAGTTGACGTGTTTCAGTCTACTTGACCTTAGTCATAGCCTTTGACTAATGAAAGTTATGACTAAGGCCGTGTAGGCTGAAGCGTGTCAACTTTTTGTATCCGCATTTTTTAATACAATAAATACAATAATTTAACCACTTTGCCACTGCCCTATAGCAGAAATACTGCTACAGGGTGGCAGGGGTGCGCAAAATCACATATATACATGTGATTGCATTTTGCATTTTCAGGTAGGGGGCACATGCGAGCCCTACCTGCACCACCATTTGTGGCCTCGACTGTCAATCACCGGGTCCAGACCGGTGTTTACTCACCAGGTCCCGGCCAGTGATTACTCACCAACACCCAGTGATTGCCGAGTATTATCGACAGAGGGGAGAGAACTGTATGTAAACAATACAGTTCTCTCCCCTGTCAGCTCCAGCACACTGCTTTGTATGGCTCTGCATAGCACAGCCATACAAAACAGTGTGCTTACAGTTGAAAGCACAGACATAGCTTACTGTGAAACAGCACACAGTTAACCCTTTGATCGCTGCACACATCGCTGCAACCCCTTCCTGCCCAGTGCCATTAGTACAGTGTCAGTGCTTTTCATTAGCACTGATCATTGTACTGGTGTCACTGGGGATGTCAGCCAGTGACATCAAGTGAGTTCCCCCCAGTGTCAGAATGCCCGCTGCAGTCCCACAGTCCTGCTATAAGTCGCTGATCGCTGTCGTTACTAGTGAAAAAAAAAAATTCCAGTATCTATACCGCCATTTGTAAATGTTAGAACTTTCATGTATACCAATTAATTTACACGTATTGGGATTTTTTTTTTTTTGCAAAGACAAGTAGCAGAATACATTTTGGACTAAATTTATGCCGAAATTTGAATTTTTTAAAAAAATTTTACTGAACATGTTTAATAGCAAAAAGTCAAAAATATTGTTTATTTCTCAAAATTGTTGCACTTTTTTTTTCATAGCGCAAAAAATAACAAATGCACAGGCCACCAAATACCATCTAAAGAAAGCTTTATTTGGGGGGGGGGGGGGGGAAGGACATAAACTTAATTTGGGTGCAGCATTTATGACCGCGCAATTGTCAGTTAAAGTAATGCAAAAAATGACCTGGCCAGGAAGGGGGGTAAATCCTCTTGAGGGCAAGTGGTTAACCTCCCTGGCGGTATTCCCGAGTGTAGCTCGGGGTAAAGTTTCAGTACCACAAGTGGTAACCCTGAGCTACACTCGGGCTTACCATGCAGCGCTGCTCCGCGATCCCTCGATCACTTACCTTGTCCTGCGCTCCCCCACTTACCTTGTCCTGCAGTGTCCCCGGCAATGTCTTCCAGCCGATGCCGGCATCTGCCTTCTGGGTTCTGTTCCCGTCAGGACATACGGGGACGGAACGGCGGGAAATTTAAAAAGGTGAAAAAGTGACATTCACTGAGGTGTCCGTTTATGACACAGAGAATAGCTGCGATTCAACAGATCTCAGCTATTCTCTGGTCATTCACAGTTTATGACACTCAGATCATGTCAGCCCTTCTCTGGAGATCTGTGTTCTCCCTCCAGATTCTCCAGCCCAGAGGTGTCCTTTTATGACACAGAGAATAGCTGCGATTCAACGGATCTCAGCTATTCTCTGGTCATTCACAGTTTATGACACTCAGGAGATCATGTCAGTCCTTCACTGGAGATCTGTGTTCTCCCTCCAGATTCTCCAGCCCAGAGCTGGAGAATCGGAGGGACCGCAAACTAAGCAGAGATAATTTACCTCTGCTTAGTAAACTGATCTTTTACTGTACTCTCGCAAGATTATAGTAAAATCAGCCGTTTTCCAGAGTTTGTAGACCGTTCTCCAGCGTTTGGAGACCGTTCTCCCTTCGTTCGGAGAACTGCTTCATAAACTGCATTCACAGGAGAACTGTGTTCTCCGAGAATGCCGGAGAACTGAGCAGCGATCTATTACCGCTGGTTCATAAACGGACACCTAAATACACTAAAATCACATAGTATAACATTACTGTATCAAACCATTTCATACATTTTGTCCCTAGTGCTTTGTCCTGTGCCCTGCCTGCATTTTTACGTTCTTTCTGCCTGGAAACTGAGAAACGTCCATGGCATCCAAAAAGTGTCCCTTTAGGTCAAAAGCGGTTTTAGACCAGCTAGAGAACAGCGATAGGAAATCAGAACCACTTGCAGAATTGAGTGATAATGATTTGTGGGGAAATTCGTCATCAGACACTGAAAACGATTTTGCGACTTTGCTCAGTGATGTGCGAACTTGGCGCTCTATTTCAAATTTCAGTGTTTTTGATTATATTATTGAATTAAATGTATTATTATTATATTATTATTTTTTATGATTATTTATTAAATTACAATTTATGATTTCGTGTTTCAAATTTTATCATACCCGGGATGTTTACTAGACTCTTGTTTGGACAGATTTCAGTGAGTTATTCCTAAAAATTACAGGCCTACAATAAAAAAACAACATATTTCCATTGAAAACAATGTACCACTTTGAGCACAGAAATACTGACATAATCAGACTGCTAGGGAGGCTACAAAGCATCTACAGTCATGTGGATCCTTCCTTACCGGCGTTTTTGGACATTTTTTGACCAAAAAAATATTTTTTTTTTAGGCTCCATGTACACTGGGCATTTTGATAATGCTAGTAACGTTAAAAATGTGAGTTTTTCTGCTTTTTTTTTTTAATTTTTGCATTAGATTTTTAGCGGTGTTTTGCCACGATTAGTGGTGTTTTTCCACATTTGTGTTTTTTAGCAGTTTGTTTTAGTCAAAAAAAAATCCAAAAACACCAGTTTGCGGCATTTTACCATGTTTTTCAGCATTAGAGTGTTTTTACAGCTAAAAAATTCCTCTAGAAACCCACTAGTTCTGGTTTTTTTTTTCCAGCCAAAAAAACATCCCAGCCAAAAAACATTGATTACAGTCTATGTGTGCATGGACACATAGGATAACATGCTGGGGGGTTTTACTGACTGTAGAGAAAAATGTCAAAAGCTAAAAACAGCAGCTGTAAAAACGTCGTGTGCATGAGGACATTTGGTAAAAAAAACCCTGCTAAACAACGCAAATGCGGAAAAAAAATGCCTCTAAATGCAAAAACGCTAAAAAGCTGAAAAACTCATGTTTTTAATGTGACTTTACACAGCTAACGTTACCAGCGTTATCAAAAACGCCCCATGTGCATGGAGCCTAATACCTACCCAATCACAAAGACATTTTGCAGGTGTCTGATCAGCCTGATCTAACCATTCACAGTTGCCCAAAGGCAAAGGTAGGTCTCCTAGTTAACCACTTGCCTACCAAGCACTTATACCCCCTTATTTACCAGGCCAATTTTCAGCTTTCAGCGCTGCCGCAGTTTGATTGACAATTGCGCGGTCATGCAACATTGTACCCATATGAAATTTTGATCATTTTTTTCTCACAAATAGAGCTTTCTTTTGGTGGTATTTAATCGCCACTGGGCGCTTTACTTTTTGCGCTATAAATAAAAAAGTTGCAAAAAATTTGAAAAAAAAAAAAGTTTCTTTGTTTCTATTATAAAATTTTTCAAACAGGTAATTTTTCTCCTTCACTGATGTGCGTTGATGAGGCAGCACTGATGGGCACTGATAGGCGGCACTGATAGGCAGCACTAAAGGGCACTGATAGGCAGTACTAATGAGGTGGCACGGATAGGCGGCACTGATAGACAGCACTAATGAGGTGTCACGGATAGGCGGCACTAATATGCAGCACTGATAGGCGGCACTGATAGGTGACACTGATGATGGGTACTGATAGACGGCACTGACTGGCATCACTGCTTGGGCACTGACTGGCGGCACTGACTGGCACAACCGCTGGGCACTGACTGGTGGCAGTGGACTGGCACTGCTGGGCTGCTGCTGTGGCTGGTGGGGGCTGCACTGGTGGGTGGCACTGGTGGGCACAGGTGGGTGGCACTGGTGGGCACAGGTGGGTGGGCACAGGTGGGTGGGTTGGGCACAGGTGGGTGGCACACTGTGGTGGGCACAGGTGGGTGGCACTGTTGGGCACATGTAGGTGGCACTTCTGGGCACAGGTGTGACACTGCAGAGTGGCACAGGTGGGTGCACTGCTGGGCACAGGTGGGTGATCTGCTGGGCACAGGTGGGCAGAGTTAGTGGGCGCACTGCTGGGCACAGGTGGGCGGAACTTGTGGGTGGCACTGCTGGGCACTGATCATCAGGGCACTGATCATCAGTGCCCTGATGATCGGTGCCGATCCCCGCTCTGACAACTGCCGGTTCTCGGCAGTACTTTCCTCACGATCTGACAGCGTGAGGAAAGTGCAGCCGAGAATCGGCACTTGCATTTCCCTCTGATCAGCGTGTCATTGGACACCGCTGATCACGTGGTAAAAGGCCGCTGTGATTGGCCTTTTACCACATCACGTGATCAGCTGTGTCCTTAGGACACAGCGATCACGGAGATCGCTGGATGCGCGCCCCCTGGGGCGCGCAGGAGAGCGCGTTCTGGGGGGGGACGTCATATGACGTCCACTCAGAACTGGCCGACCGCAGTGCAGCCGTCATTCGGCTATCTGCGGTCGGCTACTAGTTAAGCAAACTAAAAGTGGCCACTGAAAAAGCAATATTCCTTACTGCTGCTATTTCAAAGGCACTGAGTTTCATTCCTGGCTTGAGAGCTTTTATTAAATGCACTGAATCTACCACCAATAACTCTGCTGATTGTGAGTCAGAAATTTGCTAAGAATGAAGCAGACAAGGTGACTCTCATATTTTCCAAATAAATTGCCATTAAAAGACTTTTATCAATATACAGTATACTGTGTGTAATAATTTGTTTGATTAGTAGTAAATTGAATCATTCATTTGACAAGGATTAAGAAGGAAATTGGTATTCAAATTTGTCCAATTACTGGCTTTTGTGTTTTTGTCAAACAAGCTAGCATAGAAGAACAGTGAAAATCTTATTGTTGTAGAGAAATGCCCATTACAGAAAATTCATTGAATCTATCTGAAAATACTACCTACTATTCTATGTGCAGTTTCTGTGGGATTACAGTACTCTGCTATTTCTACAGAAAATAAGCTAAAATGGAACAGAACATCAAAAAAAAAGATTGATGGGATAAATTGTAGCAGTAATGCTAATTATACCAGAGTAGAAGACTGAAAAGCTATTTCTTTCAAGTGGAAAATAAAATGTGCTAAGCACTGACTCATCTCAGTAGAGGTGAACCTGGAGAGATTGCTGCACTTCGCTCTGACATTCTGCTGTGTTAATTCTCCAGCATGAATTGCATTTAAGAATATTCCTTCATGACAAGGTAGTTCCACTGATTAGCGGCTGTGTCACACAAAGAACATATGGCTTCAATAAAAATGGTATCTATTTTAGATATAAAATACAGATTTTCTATTTTGTATGAAATTCAGCCTTTGGCTGGGTTCACACTGTTACGTTGTTTTAGCTGCGCATTAAGGACTGTGTTAACATTGCGTTCCTTCAGATCATTCCTTTGCATGGGCTGCCTAGCACACCAAAAAACGCATTCAGCATTTTTGGCAGCGCAGGGCATGTCAAGGCCGGTTGCTGCAACATTACAGTGAGAACAGGGCCTCAAAAAATATTTCACATGACAGAAATATAGGGGCTGCCATTAGACATATGCAGGACAAAAACATTAGTTTCATTTCGATTAATTATTTAAATAATTTTGTTTAGTTAAATTTGTTTATTAATTTTCAGAATTAGTTTAGTTTTGTTTATTCGTTTTCGAATTCGACTGAATTGAAAAATATTGAATTGGCACTCGGATTTATTTATTTCAGGTACTTATATAGCGCCATCAATTTACGCAGCACTTTACATATATATTGTACATTCACATCAGTCCCTAACCCTCAAGGGGTGTACAATCTAAGGTCCCTAACTTACATTCACACATACACATACTAGGGCCAATTTAGATAGGATCCAATTCACCTACCAGCATGTTTTTGGAGTGTAGGAGGAAACTGGAATACCCGGAGGAAACCTACGCATGCACAGGGAGAACATGCAAACTCCAGGCAGGTGGTGCCATGGTTGGGATTCGAACCAACGACCCTAGTGCTGCCAGGCAGAAGTGCTAACCATTTAGCCACTGTGCTGCCCCATTCAAATTTATTCTATTTAAAATTCGAATTTTGGAAGACAGTTTATATTATTTCTATTCTGTTCTATTTTATTCTATTCTTTTATTTTCTCTGCTTTACTCTATTCTTTTCTATTGTATTTTCTATTGTATTCTATTATTTTCCTTAATTTTCTATTCTATTTTTATTCTACTATATATCTTTTATTTTCTGTTCTGTTTTACTGTATACTATTTTTATCCTAGTCTTTTTATTCTATTCCATTCCTTTATTTTCTATTCTATTCTTTTCCATTCTATTCTGTTTTATTCTATTCTTTGCTAAATTAGAATTTCAGGAAACGGCTATATTCTAACACTAATACACACAGTATTTGAAGGAAATCAGCAATACTCAGCTCTTAGATTGTAAGCTCCAGGGAGCAGGGCCCTCCTAACCCTCTTGTATCAAACTGTATAGTTGTTGTATTGTCTCCCTTTATATTGTAAAGTGCTGAGCAAACTGTTGGCGCTATATACATCCTGTAATAATAATAATAATATTTATATTGTGAATTTGTTTTCTAATTCAATTTCCTTTTCAAATTCTATTTGAATTCAAATTTCGGCTTACATTTCATTCTTCATTATTTTGGGTTCATTTAAATTTGAATTTCTGAATAACGAAAAAATTTGTCAGAATTTCGATTCAGGATGAAACGTACTGCACATGTCTAGCTGCCATTGCTGACTTTATTATGAAAATAGGTGGTTGTCAGATAGGGAGAGATTTACGAAAACTGGAATACTCAAAATCTGGTGTAGCTGTACATGGCAGCCAATCAGCTTCTAAATTCCACTTGTTCTATTAGGCTTTGACAAAAAAACCTGGAAACCGATTGGTTTCTTTGTAGAGCTGCACCAGATTTTGCACTCTCCAGTTTAAGTAGATCTTCCCCATAGTGTCTGTCATGCACCAAGTGAAAGTAAGGAATGTCAGAATTCCTTATGTCTATTCAGTGTCAGTATCTCAGAAAGTAGTATTTTCAGAGGAAAGATCAACACTGTCAGGCTATGTATTAGAGGAGGACTGACTATTTTTGGCC